GGGAAAACTGGAACCAAAGATGATCTCGGGCTGCTGGTCCTCACTGAAGAATAACTGCTGCAGGATCTGCAGGGCCATGTAGTTTTTGGTCAGCACCAGCAAGTAGCGGGACTCAGCATCTTCCAGCTCTCCAAGTGCCCCCCTTTGCAAGCCCCAACAAATGTTCTGCTTAATGAGCTCCAGGGTGCTGACCTCTCCCATGCACCTGACCTCAGGTAAACTGGCCATGAAGATGTCCAAAGCGGGGATGTCATCTTTGCCACTGAAGTTCCGAAGGACCGCCTGCGCAATCTCCTGCGGGGAAGGCTTCCTGTTAGATGCTCTGGCGGTGGCGAAGACCATCTTGATGAGGCTGTAGTAGTCGCGAAGCCCGAAGAATTCCTTGTCCTGCCTCTGGCACACCATCTCATAGGCCTTGGCAAAGGGAGCGAAGTACCCTCGGACCCTGTCCTGCACCAGGCTGTCTGAAGAGGAGATCCCTCTGGCACTCTCTGTGAGCTCCTTCTCACTGGGGCTGCCGCGGGACACAAAGATGCCCCGGTTCATCTTGGCAGGGTCGAGGGCCCAGTTGGAAATACCTATGAAGCCAACTTTTTGGTGGGGGGGCAGGATCACCTTCAATGCACCCGTCTTCCAGCAGGGGGTGCAGAGCCTTCAGGGGCATTTTGGGGGAATCTTCTGCCAAGCCGACCTCATCCAGCACCACCACAGACACGTACTGCTGCAGGTCCTTCCCCTGCTGGAAGCGAGCGCACTGCTTGAAGGTGTTGATGACGCCCTGTGGGGTGCAGTGGGGGCTACACTGGAAGGACACCAGGTGGACCTGCTTCAGGCTGCGGAAGAGAGCGGAGTGCGCGGCCTGGCCCTGCATGGCATCCGCCACGATGGTCTTGGCGAGAGATTTGGAGCTGCCAGGCTTCCCCACCAGGAAGAGGGGTATCTTCAGCTCAATGCAGATGATCATCATGAAGACGTTCTCCTTCAGAGCCAAGTTCCTGGCTATGGTTTTCCTCAGAGGCACCCCACTCAGGAAAAGATCCTGTGCGTGCGTGATCTCGTCCAGGATGACCCCGCTGTTGTCATATGGTTCTGGAAAGGACCTGCAAATGGCTCTGCGGTAGGACTCCTTCTCCTTCAGGGAGGCGTGGTAACAGACCCCCACTGCCAGAACCAGGGACCAGAGGACGGGGTCTCTCCTGAAGTTATTTTTGCTGACACTGGTCTCGCAGAGAAAGGTGTTCAGCTTCACCAAGAGCATCTCGCTGCGGCCATGAAACCACGTGAACACCTTCACACAGCGCTCCACATCCCGGAGGCTGACGAAACTGCACTCACTTTCAGTGTTCCTCATGAACCTCTGAGAGGCAGAGAGCACTTCCGTGATCACACGAGTCTCGTCCTCGCTGATCCTGACGTGGTCCACCAGTCTCTGCACAATCTGCTGGATGTAGAGCTTTTCAGTAGTGTCATTCAGCTGCCCAAAGTCCCACACCAGAGGAATCAGGCTCGGGGGCAGGGCGTGGACACGGTACACCAGCTGCCTGAGGGGAATGGAGCCCAGCCTGTCTGCCGTCTCCTCTGCACTGACCCTGTACCCCAAACCAGCTGACTCCAAACGGCAGATGGTCTCCTGGGAGTGCTTCCTGTAAGGGTTGCAGGCAGCTATGATGTGCAAGCCTGAGTCCTCCTCCAGGGGCTGGCCATCCACGGTCTGGTCACACAAGACTTCCTTGATACAGCTTATGGCTTCTGTTGTGTTGGCTTCATCAAAGAACAAGATGGTGTCCAACTGGTGTTGGTCTTTATTATATAAGGCAGTTTTCTCAGCCTCCAAGACTTTGGAGTGGATCATGGCTGTGGTTGTTCCTCCATGAACCTTGACCAACTTCATGGTCTCAGCCTGGGTACCAGCACGCCGCAGATCACTAAGGAATTTAATGAGCCTGGTTTTCCCACAGCCTGTTTCTCCCATGATGATAACTGGGATCCCACAGCGGAATCGCATCTCAATGGCCAGAATCTTGAGCATGTTGTCTGTTGTAAGCTCATATGTTTCATCGGGATCAAGGGCCTGAGGAATTCCTAGTGACTGGCAGAGTCTCAAGAGTTTCTTATGTCTGGGCAGGTTATCAAAGTCAACATTAAAGGGCACCCTCTGAAGCAACAGCCCCTTGTATAGTTCTTCTGTCATGACATCTTTCTTGATTATCTTCCCATTGAGATGGTTGATGGCATCAACGCTGCCATTCTCATTGGGCCGGAGATGGAAGCCTATGAATGTCATGGTCTCGTGGTCACCATTGAAGAACACATATGGGTGAGGCTCTGACTCCCACCTCCTCCGGAGAGTGAAGGGGGCGAGCTCTTCCTCATCAACCCCATCCATGGTGACCATGTGCTTCCTTGGGCTCTGGTCAGAGATATGAAGCGTTGGCGTGGCAAAGTCTCTTGCCATGAAGATCATGAAGGTGACCACAAAATTCTTGAAGCCTGGTAGTGTAAATCCAGTAAAGCCTGGATTACAGAACATACAGGCCTCACAGTCCTTGAGCTGACAGTTGAGGAACCGAGCAAAGTTCTGGAGCTCTGACCAGGAGGGGTTGATGACCCCACAATATATGAGGAGGTGCTGGATGCACTCCCCTGGGGTACCTTCAACAGAGCCTGCTTGGTATTGAAATGTGTCTAGGTTTTGTTTTTGATGGAATCTTTTTAAATATTGGTAAGGTCTTTGGAAAGTGGCACTGCGGAATTCTCTCTCGTCCATTCCAGGCTCTCTGAAGCTTCTCTCAGGGCTCAGCTCCATGGCTATCACTTCTTTGGGAGGTCTGCAGGTGACTCTGGGGAAGATGTCAAGAAAACTAAACTGGGGGGCATGTGGATTCTGCAAAGGAGAGACATAAATATAAGTTAGAACTTGATTTCCTGAAAGATGCCCATATATATGAACCCTCCATGCGATCTACTCAGGATCGGCCTTTATGAAAACAATCACTTAAATACACAGTGATTGTTTGCATTCTGCAGCCTCTCATTCACAGAGGCTGGCATCTGCACCTTAGAGTATTAAAGAAGCTCAACTACAGTAGCTGTATTATTAACCAGGAATCCATTTCCAACCCAGCCTCCTGTGGCGTGATCTCTCCTCCAAGCACGAACACATGTGCGACCATAGAACTCCCACCAGCTAATGGCTTTCTATGTGCAAAGTCGCCCTGCTATCTTCACTGGCAGTAAAAGAGACAATGGCCATCAACAGAGGAATCTCCTGAACACTCATCACGGGTGAGACTCAACCCAGACACAGCATGGATCTGACAGATCCAGACAAATGCAAGACGCTGCCAATCAATAAATACGAGAGCATTCTCATTCCAGACATCATTAAGATCTAAGTCTAAGCATGCATTTCGCCTTACACATACTCGCTGCTCCCTTAACATGAAAGTGGGAAACAATTAAGATGTGTCAACTCAGGCCACAGGCCACAGCAGCAAAGGTGTGCTGTGATCACCTGCAAATGCCCTGTGTGCTTACCAGCTTTGGAGACCTCTTTGGCAGTACTGAATTTCCTACTGGGATTTCAATGATATATAAATGGCATGGGTTCCGAAGCTACATTTTCCCACTTATATCCATTAGGTATTGTAAAATGAGGAGTTTGAAAAGAAAAACCCAAGTTCCAATCTGTACCTAAAGACAGAGAAGCATGGGTTGAAAATACACAAATGCCAACCATTTCTTCCAACCCCCAGGACCCTCCTGTCTTGTTCCTAAAGAGAAGGGTACTGACCACAGGTAGGTGTAAAAAGAAGGGACTCTTCATACAGGGAGAAGCAAGTGGGGCCCTTGGAATTACACCTTCTGATGTGGCCATTCAGCTGCCATATAGGCACTTACCGAAGCAGTCACATCAAAGTGGAATATCATAGGCGTTTTCCGAAACTGAGCATCCCAGAAAGATAGGAGGGAGCCCAGGATGCGGCCCTCATCCACCTGAGTGTCAGTCAACCGAACAGTCTTTAAAGGCACCTTTTCACTATTTAACTTCTTTTTCAGTTTTTCATGCAATCTCTTCACATAGAGAGACTTCCCTGTAATGTTCAAATAAGGAAATAAGATCCCAAGCCCATGGACCAAGAGGAACAGAATCCAGAGAGATTAGAAGTTACTTCTTAGGCAAGAGCAGTGGCATACGCTAGTAATCTCAGGAGCTTGGGAGGCTGAGGCAGGAAGATTGCAAATTCAAGGCCAGCCTCAGCAACTTAGTGAGGCCCTGAACAACTTAGTGAGACCATGTCTCAAAATAAAAAATAAAAAAGGCTGAGGATATGGCTCAGTGATAGGGCACCCCTGAGGTAAATCCCCATTTTTAAAAAAACAAAAAAACAGTTACTTCTCTATGTAAAAATCAAAACTGATGCAATGGAACATCAGATTAGAGCACAATTGCACCATGAAGCCAGAGTCCCTAGCTGTCACCCACTCAGCATCCTGGCATTCTCCATGATGACAGCAGTGGAAGTATAATAAAGTAAAAGCAGAGGCATGTCCTGAGCAGGGAGGGGGGGGGCAGGTTTTGTCCTGACAGGGCGCAGTGATGCTCATGGGACGAATCAACAGAATGGAAGTCACCACCTCTTATCAAGGACACATGACAGTGACTGAAGGGAGGGTGCGAAGCACTCTTCTCCTGGAGCCAGAGCAGCTATGCCTCCTCTGCTCACACCAATGTGACCCAGAAGAGGTCAAGGGTTTACACAAGAAAAAGTGACCTGCAGAGAAGTCCATCCAAGGAGGAGCTGGGCTACGAGGAACTACAACCTGGGTGGAAAGGGGGCCCCTTCTAGAGGAAGCACTGACTGCTGGCAGTCAGACCCTCCTGAGACTCACTTTCCCACCTGCAGAGGGGTGTCATCTGAGGTGCCCACTGCTGCAGAGGCAGGGGTCATTGGGAAGCCCACCCCAGCGCTCTCATTACCAACTCCCGCTCTCTCCGAGGCCACGAACCCCACACACATCCGGTCTCTGAACACAGCTGCCGCTGACAGGGTCTGTGCCGGGACCTGGTAGTGATGTGCCAGGTAGTCCTGGATGGCATGGAGGGGTGCCTGGGGGATGAGGTGGACTTTGTGCTGGCTGAAGGCTGAGGGCAGGTAGCAGCATTCCTGTGCCGCGTCGCAGACCAGCACCAGCTGGTAGTCTTCCCGGGGACACTGTGTGCACAGGCTGCGGAAGAAGGCCTCTGCCTGGCAGGCCACCTCGTAGCTCAGCTGGTCCGCAAACAGCAGGCTGTAGACCTTGTGCCCCTGGGAAACCGGGGCCAGGCAGCGGCGCAGGAGCAGGGCCACCTCCTCAAATGTGGTCCCTGGGGTACAGAGTAGCACCTCATCGAAAGTGGGCAGGGGCTGGCCTGGGGCCTGCATGTAGATGGCCAAGGTAGCCAACAGCACCTCAGAATGGCCACACAAGACCAGGTTGGGCTGGCCAGCCTGCAGGCCCGTGGGGAGAGACCGCTCCACAGGAGGCCCGCTCATCCTGGCCAGGCGAGCCAGACAATGGCCCAGGGCCTCCAGGTCCAGGCAGCCAGGCAGAAAGACACTCATGCTCTCCAGGGACTGTTCCATGATGGCCCTCAGCTTGGTCACCAGGCTGATCTCAGCGGATTGCAATGGAGGTAATTTTTCCATCACTGTCCTCACGTGGTGTCTGGGGGCCTCATTAAACCCCTCGGTGGCCCTTAAGACGTCAGCTGGGGTGCAGTTGACTTTGATGAAGGACAGCATCATGAGGGCAGCTTCGCTGGGACTCTGCTTCCTGAGCTCGGTGCTCAGGAGGACCAGCTGCTCGGCCGTGTAGAAGTTGAGGTAGAAGTGCTCCCTGCGCTTTCTGCTCACCAGCTCCTTCCAGTCTTCCAGGAAGTGCTCCATCTGCCTGCAGAGGGCTTCCAGAAGCCGGGTGACGTCCCCACTCTCTGTCAACTGGCTTACCAACTCCAAGTGGAAGTCCATGCAGATGGAGACACCATTCCTGGGGCAGCAGTAGACCTCGGCAGTCCAGGTCCGGAACAGCATGTTTCCCGCAGAGTACAGGTTCAGGAAGGCTTGCATGAGCCGCTGCACATAGCAAAATAACTGGGGAAACAAGGGCATAAGGCAGATGTCACAGTGAGCTACTGCAGGGGGACATGCTAATCTAGACACACATGGGTTCTAAGTCAAGGGTTTTGGGTTCACTCCTCCTTCAGGGTCACTAGGAAACATGAAAAGCCTAGGAAGAGGGCAGCTACCTTCAGGAAGAGATCAGGTGGCAGATAAGAATGTTGACTGTGGGCTGGGCTGGTCTCAGTGGTAGAGCACTTGCCTAGTATGTGCCAGAACCTGGCTCTATGGCTGCACTGGATGAAAAATTGTCTACTGTGAAGTGCAAATAAACTGTAAGGAAAGAACCTATAACAGGAGAGAGAGAGAGAGAGAGAGGAGGGGGGAGAGAGAAAGAGAGAGAGAGAGAGAGAGAGAGAGAGAGAGGGAGAAGGGGGGAGAGAAAGAGAGAGAAACTATTACAAAAACCAACAACCTATATCTACAATTATTTTAGGGTTTTTTTTTTTTTTTTTGGGGGGGGGGTGTTACCAGGGATTGAACCCAGGGTGTTATACCATTGAGTTATGTCCCCAGCCCTTTTTCATTTTGAGACAGGATCTCACTAAGTTGCTGACACTGGCCTCTAACTTACACTCTTCCTGACTCCGTCCTGAGTCACTGGTATTACAGGGATGTGCCACCACACCTGGCTCAGTTACTTTAGTTTTGATGAAGAGTGCCCATTAGAATCTTGAGGTGTTTGACTTTGCCAATTTACAGAGTAAATGAAGCCTTTCATACTTCTCAGAACTATCTACTTGGTCACCTCCTGCTAAGTGCAGCTGATTAACCACCAGTGGTGACAGATCTTAAGGATGCCTCCAGGGCCTCCAGGGCCTGTCCCACCTCAGATGTGGCTCCAGGCAAGGTGCACCCTGCAGACCCACAAGCTCCACTCTCTGGAGCCACTCTGTCCACCAGAAGCCAACCCCTGCCCCTTCCCCTTTGCAGGAAGCAGGGCAGTGAGCATGCCCAGCCTGAGGCAACAGGGCACCTGCTCACCTGAGAAAACCTCTCCACTTCCATATTCTTGTGGTCTTTCTTGCCAGACATCAGCATCAGCTTGTTTAAAAGATCCTTCAGCTCTTCTAAAGTGTAGGAGTGCTCTGGCTCCAGGCCACTGTGACCCCCAGGGAGGATCAGGCGCAGGATGGCATCTGGGGAGATCTGGGAGGCACAACATGATTAGAAGCCATTTTCTGGTGCCTAAAACGCTGACTCTGCAGCAGGCCAGTGCATGCCACCAACACTGCACCTGGAATCTGAGAGGGCTCACCTTCTGGTCGCTTGTGGATGCCCTGATCTCATAGATGCCTCTGCTGTTGATTGCTGTGGCCAGGGACAGGGACGAGAGCTCAATGGACCCATGGCTTTTCTTCACTGTCTTCAGCCACTCCAAGTTCCTAGCAGAATCTCGCTGTTGGAACGAAAGCAGAGAACATGGGCCAGGGTTCGAATGACTATCTTCCTGGATGTCCTCCTCCTGCCTCTGCCCTTGCTGGGCAAACTCCAGCCCCCCTCCTCCAGGGCTCCAGGCATAACTTCTTGCCTGAGGCTGCCTCAGGTACCCCTGGCTGTTCCCTCAGGACCCTGCCTGTTCCTCAGGACCCTGGCCACTCATTGTGGCTGCACTGGTGCCAGGTTTCTAGCTGACACTTGGAATGCACTTGGCCTGCACTTATGGTTGATTAGTAAGATAGCCACAGGCCATGCTCTCTGGTGGCAGGCCGCCATCCTCCTGGGTTCCCAGAACAAAGGCCCTCTGAGGAGAGATGGTTGACTGAACAGGAGCCCTAAGTTCTTAATGTCCTGTCATGGTCCCTGAGCATGACCAGAAGAACAGGAAAAATCGCAACAGAAAATGAGCTTCTAGCAGAAAAACTGCAAACTGCTCTCTCTGTCCATCTCCCCACCCTCCAACCACATACAGGACTGTCCCAAGGCTGGTGCAGGCCTCTGGACATCTCTTCTCATTGGGTGAGTTATGAGTGTAAGTTTACTCAGGCGCTGGTACAGGTAGTTTACTTAAATGTTTTTTTCCTGATAAAAAAATTAATCAACATCAATTGTGAAAAATACCAAAAAGTAACTAAATAAAAGGGCAGTTACTAAATTCAGAGAAAACTGCTGCACACCCTTTCACACGCTTCCTACTGTGCTCTTTCCACACTTGTCCTGTAGGGTGGCGACTGCTCTTGACATGCAGCTCTGTAGTTCTCTTCCAACCCAAGACAAAGAAAGCATTTCCATAGTGAAGAAAATCTGGTTTTAAACATCAGTTTAAATGGCTGCCTACACACCTCCATGCCCACGTGCCCCCAAAGCACAGCTGCTCCCCAGGGCTGCAGGACCTCCACACCTTGGAATCAGGAACAAACCTCACCAGCTTACTGGGCAGATGGGGGTCATTTTGCAGAGCCTTCCAGAGTTCTCTTAAAATTTCCATGAACTCGCTGAAGCCTGCCTTCTTGTCCAGCTTATACAGCAGGGACGCATGGCCCTGCACAGCATCATGGCAGCAGGCCACCCGGTCCACGTCAATGTCGCTCTCTCCAGCTGAGATGGAGGCCAGGTCCACAAACACCTGGAGCTCGGTGATGCCTGGGGCAGAGAGGGGGTCAGCACGGGACCACTCCATGATGCTGCACAACTCTCACCTGGGGCAAGACCCTTCGTGAGGCCATCGATAGACACTAGGTAAACACCTAGCGTGTGTGGCACTTCCTGCCTTCCGTTAGGACACCAGGACACCTTTTCTTTTGCAGCATATGATGACACCACTGACCAGCATCTAATCTTTACCAAACAATGTCCCAGGCACTGTTCTAGGCTTGTGTGTTCCTTATTTCCTTTAATCTACAAACATTATCACCTAAACAAAAACACGTTCCATTGGTAAATAATTTGAATCAAATGTATGATATGTCAAGATCATTGTAATGTTTTGAGCAACTAATAAAAAAGATAATAATAATATTGGGCAATCAATTATTTTAAAAACTGAGATAATTCCCCTAGGGTTAATTACTAATCAAAGAATGTAAGTCAAAGCAGACTCAGGAGTAAAGGTGGAGCAGCACAGCTCTGGATGAGAGCTGGGGCCAGTGACGCCTCAGTGCCAGCAGGAGGTGGCCTTGTAGGCCTCGGTGGTGTGTGAGTGCTGTCCCCGCTCCACCTCCTTGGACTTTCCTTCTTACCTCTCCTCCCCTGCCTCTATCTAGCCCACACAACCACACAGGCTGCCCAGCCCTAGGCTGGAAGAGAGGTATACAGGTTACACAAGCTCACAGCAGCAGCACCCCTCTGTGGGCAAGAGCAGGCCTAGGCCTCTGGCAGAATGAGCTGGAAGGAGAAAAAGGAGTCAGGATGCTTATGAAAATGATGCCAGTGTCCACAGATGGAAAGAGCAACAAAGGAAACAGTTTTAACCAGAAGCCTGAAAAGCTGTCCTGATGCAAACTCCACTGTGGGCCTAGAAGCAGACACTGCCCCCCCAACCCAACACATGCACATGATTGAGGCAGGACATCCTTGAGGTCAGGAACCCCATTTGGCAAACACCTGAAGCTGAGCTCCCACCCTACCTCTCAGCTCGTCGTGTAGCCAGCTGACCAGCTCCTTCTGCAGGGCCAGCTCCTCCAGACACTGGAGGCGGGGCTCATTGATGTCCTGCAACAGCTTCTTGGCCTGGATGAGCTGTGGGCTAATCTGGTTCAGTCTCTCATGGTGGGTGGCCTTGAAATCATCAATCTGCAAGACGAAGCTCTGCTGTGGACTGTTCCAGCAACCACCCACAACTGCCCTCCAGTATGCCTGGACAAGCAGCTGCTATAGCAGAGCCTGACACATTCTTGCACCAAGGATAGCATGACCTTCACAGCCCTCCTTGCTAAGCTGCAGCTGCTACTGTCCCCAGTACCCAGGTCCTGTGAGGAAGCTTTCATAGACTTAGAAACCTGCTACTCACAGCAGCCCAGCCAGGTCCATGTTGTTAGCTTCTCTGGGGGAGTTACTCATAGACTTACCGAAGGGTTCAAGTCTAGGTATAGACAATTCCACACTATGTATTAAATTTTAAGCATTAACATACCTGCCTCTACTGAAAATCCACACACCTTAGAAATGTGAGACTAAGAAACAGGAAGAGATTCAGGCCTGAGCAATGTACCATTGGAGCAATTGCACAAGAGGAGCAATGTACCATTTGGCATTCCCACTGCAACTAGGAGAGGTACCTAGACAGATGACAAAATATTTCCCTTTGTGCTTTCATAACCTAAAGAGATGAGATTCCTCTGGAAAGGGGTAGGTTTTTCTACCCTGAATTTTTGGTTCTCATATAGACCCGAGAAAACTCACTAGCTAAGGAACAGTCACACTGTCTCAAGCAAAGGTAAAAACCCAGGGCTTGGAATGTTCCAGACTGAGTGCAGCCCAGATGAGAGTCCTCGGAGGGGGCTGCCTCACTGATCTTCCCAGAATCCCTTGGGCTTCCAAGGAGTCTGAGGTAGGCCCCCACCTCCCAGGAGTCCCCAGCAAATAACTTACAAAGTTTATTAAAGTGTAAATAACACTGAAGTCACCAGTCAATCCAAAATCCTTTTTGAACTGCAAGATGACCTTGGCCGAGCTGATTGCCTGGTGCAGGCTATGGTACTCCTTGATCTGTTCAACACGCTCTGAGATCCAACCCCTCTGGGCCTGGGGGTCTACTTCACACATGATCTGGAGGTCTAAAGTCAGGTCATTGTATTTATCTACAAAGTCCTTGAAGAAGACATTAATTTCTCCAAAGGTGATCTCTCCTGACTTCAGATCCTGATACAGTTTCATGAACCTCTGGTAACAAGGCGAGTACAAGTACTCATAGGCCTCTAAAAGCGCAAGGGTTCGTCTTTCAGATTCTCCTTGGGGATGGCTTAATGACTCTGCAGCTTCTTCCCAGAAGATCTGGAAGATGTGGCTGTCCATCAGCAAGTCTATCCTTGCAGCCATTCTTTGGACCTCACGGTCCAGGTTGTAGTGCGTCATCAGCTTGCAGGCTGAGGACAGCGGCTGTCTCACCCTCATGGCTTCATTCAGTCTTTTGCAGTTCAAGTCTTCTGAGTGTCTTGCTTCAATCTCTCCAAAATCCACTTTGGAAACCACAAGGAAACATGGAAGTTAAACTGCTAGACACGGTAGCATCTTATTTTACTTTTCTAGTATTTCTAATAACTTCTTTGAGAAAACACAAATTAATATTATTTATGGGATTTTTTTTTTCTTAAGAAGAATTCATCCCTCCTCCCCTCACCCTGCCACGGGATTGTTTATCAGTTTTCATGATAAAGAACAGACTGGAAGCTCTTGTGTGGAGAGAACAGTTGGAAACACAAATCCATCTCCCTCCCAAATCCCATTCCAGTGACAGATTAGAAAATGCTTTTAAAACATCATAACCAGCAGGAACAAGGACAGTAGAAAAGAAGCCTAATAACAACACAACCTGAGAAGTAGAAAGATGGCCACACCAGTGGCAAATAACACTTGGGGCCTGAGAACAGAGACCCTAAGGACACAGCAGAGGTGAGCTCAGCCAGGCCCAACACAAGTTTCTGGCACTCAAGGACACTAGATGTTAAGGTCACCCTAGACTGGAGGAGGCAGAGAGGGAACTGGAATTGGGTTCAAAGTCTGTTTAAGAAGTAGTTGGTGAGAGTCCACCTCCACCATGGAGGCAGATGGGGGCTGCCCGCCCCGTCAAGGGGCAGGAAGGACCAACTGCAGGGCTCTCTGGCCTGAAGGCTACTTCTAGACACACACCTGTCTTGGGCAGCTACAGAGGACAGGGAGTATTCAATCTAAGGACAAAGAGGATGACACAGTCACCAGGGCATGAAAACTGGAATAAAAGTGGGGCTCACTCTCCTCCTCTCCCTCTTGGCTCCAGAAATCTGGCAGCAGGCAGGGGGTGCAAATAAGACCAGCTCACAAGAGAAGCCCTCAAGGACTAGGTCAATTTAAGGGCAGCCACAGAGCCCCATAGGTCACAGCCCAGAAGCCCTTAGCCTGTCCATCCACCTGTGGGGACTGTCTTCATACAGACAAACGAAAA